TATTTTCGTCTTTCTGAGCCGAGGGTCTATCGGAAACAGCCTATCTGCCCCTATCGGGGCAGGGGTAAGGTCTGCTTACACATTACCCTCCCCAGACCCCACTATGTGAGATTTTACTGGGTAGTAATTGTTGGTGTTGTTGTTGTTGTACCGATATAGGTATCGGATAAGTTTGAACTATACAGAACATGTTAATAAAACAAGCAAAACTTACCAGACTTGTGATTTTTGCAGGCTGGTTTTGCTGGAATTCTGTCACATAAGGGGTTGTTCTCATCAATTTACAACACTACTAAACAAGTCTTCAAGTGTAATTCTACCATTTTAACACTTCATTTGATCTTGTTATTGGATGACCAATGTTACAATTCCTCTCTTCTCTTTATTTCAAAATGAGAATTGATATTTTCAGGAAAACAATACCAAATTTATTTATTTACTTTTGACTAAGTTTTATAAGATAATCTTTCGTTATATTTTTGGATCAGTGATTTACCTACCATTTAAAAGTCGTCTCATATTTGTCCTTAACCCTACAGGGTGGATTGACCTAGCCCGATGCAACGTCATGTGAGACTGTTTCGTTGATTTTTAATATACTAAATATATATGTATATATAAATAATAAGTAATATGAAGTTATTTAGTACAAATATAAAAAAGAATACTGCTTATTATTATTATTATTATTATTATTATTATTATTATTGTTATCATATTAATTTATTTATTTGTTATTTTCTCCAATGCTAATATTGCTTATAATAAAATCATGCGTATTCCACAGTTAATGCTTAGCTTAATGATGTTAATATTGCAGATGTTATAGCTTACACTGCTCATGTACCATCTTTTGCTGATACACGTGGATGGGTTTTGGTATAGTCCCTTATTTATCTTTTATTCAAATTATTCTAACCCTTTTTAAATTTCATAATCAATATCTTAATTACAATTAATTTTCCTATAGGCTTCGGATCAACCATTTAAACTAGATGCTGAGGTTCTTGAGAGCAGGATTAAAGAGAGGATTAATGGAGAACTTCAGTATCTTGATGCTGCTTTCATGCTCTCTCGTACTGTTATGAACAAGACTGTTGATACATCGTAAGTCTAGATAATTATTTTCCGATGTTTGATTATCTGAAAATATTTTTCAAAAATAGTATATTTATTAGGAGGGGACAAATAATTTTCTAAAATTATATGTTTGCTCCAACTAACGCTTAAATATAATTATTAATCTCTAATACTCAAAATTTTCGTCAAATACTTTCCAAGGAAAAACATAAGGGAAGCATTACACTGTTATTGGTGTTAACAAAATTTATCATCATTGTAGACAACATTTTACAAATATTTGCGACAACTGATTTTTATTACTTTACTAATTTGTTTTACTTGGATATTTTAGTTGCAAAATTCCGATTGAAGGAATGTCGAAATTTTGCATATTATGATGCAAGAATTGGAAGTCGAAGGGAGCCTTGACGTAACTGGTAAAGTTGTTGTCATGTGACCAGGAGGTCACGGTTCGAGCCGTGGAAACAATCTCTTGCAAAAATGCAAAGCAAGGCTGCTACAATAGACCCTTTTGGTCCGACCATTTTTCGAATTTCGCGCATAGCGGAAGCTTAGTGCACCGGACTACCATTTTTTTTTAATGATGCCAGAATAGAAAGTCGATATACTATTATCTTTTAGGTTCTATTAATAAAAAACAAAAATAGTAGACAGGGAATTAATTGTCATTCAACATATTATTTTATGATGATGATTTGCGTAAATAATTTGGCAATATAGATAATTCAAATAAAGAGTTTAGTCATTAATTTGACTCATTCATATGTTTGACAACATCACGTTTATTTGTTTATTAAATGACTAAAATTTATTTATTTTCCTTGTTGTAGGCTCCAGAATGAGACAAATATTTTAACAGAAGAGAATGAGAAGTTCCTCTTTGAACATGGACTGCTTGCAGCTGATAGTGTCTGAACAAAGTCTGATCAAATCCAGTTTAATTTCTATGAATTATTTTGAGTGTTATTTAGTACTATGACTGCAATGGCGTAGCCAGGAATTCCGTTAAAAATATTTAAACTTTGAACAAGTCTATAATTTTCTTTTGTCGATGAATGGTATACCAAATTTTTTAAATCAAACTATGCAACGTTTAATTAAACAATAAATTTTTTAATAGAATTATAATTTTATAAATCAGAATTAAAATAACAGAAAGACAATATTCGAAATTTTACTAATAAAAGCAGGCATAAAACAAGAGGAAAAAGAGAGTCGAGAGGATTTATAGTTTGTAGAAAACTTTTATTTAAGAGATCTTTATAGAGCTTAACTTTCAAATTATAAGACTTATTTAAGAAATAACTTTTAGGTAAAAAATTATTTTTAAGTTTAGTTGTTTATTTTTACATAACTTTTAAATTTTAAATGTTATTTTATTAAAAAAATTCTTAAATTGAAAAAGAATCAAATTGATTACACGTGGTGGTCTCTAATTAGTTTTGCAAAAGTATGAAACAAAAATACTGCAATGAAATAAACAAAACATATTACAGAATGTTTAATGCATATATCTATGGCCATCTTTTCCCCTTTTAGTCCAATGCAATCTTTAGAACTAGACCAACCATCACACCTGATGAACCATAAAAATGTCTAATAACTCTCAAACACAAAATTGAATAGTTACAAGTCGAAAATGATGGTCCTAAACAACGGCCAAAAATGAATATTGATATAATATGTTTGTCATATATAAGTATTTGGGTTTCCCAATATTCCAAGCACGACAAACAAGAGCTAACTTCCAGTTCTTACTTGATAATTTTAAATCTAGACAAGCGGGATGAAAAACTAATTTCTTAACTATGGCTGGTCGAGTTACTCTGATCAAATCTACATTAAATAATCTCCTAAATTATATTATGCAATATATTCAAATTCCTTCAAACATTCTCAGTAAAATGGAGCAATATCAATGCAATTTTCTATGGGAAGCAACAACCACAAAAAAGGAAACTGCACCTTTTAAAATGGAAACATATTACTACACCCCGAGAAATAGGGGGCCTAGGAATCCAAAACTTGCGCCAAAAGAATAATGCATTAATAGCAAGTCTTGCATGGAGAGTATTTCGTTCTCACCTAGACCTTTGGGCTAAGATATTAATTTATAAATTCCTTCATCTTTCACCATCTGTATATTACTCTACAACTTGGTGTAATGTATTACGGGGTTGGGATAGCTGCCAACTAGGACTACCATGGAAAATAGGAACAAGTGACAATATTAAATTTTGGCATGACTGCTGGATTAAAAATGGGTTAACTCTTCGTTCACTAATTTGTAGACCATTACCTTGCCAACATCACTTGATGAACATTAACTGTATTTATGATGTTAATGGTTGGAAATGGGATATTTTACCTTTTGACCTCCCTGATAATATACAGAACCTTATAAGAACTCCATATATCTCAACATATAATAAAAAAGGTGACAACATCTGTTGGGCGCTGACTCCCAATGATAAATTTACAGTTCATTCTATGTACAAAGCCCTAGAACATAGTTCCAACGATAATCACAACATAGTTTCTAAATTCCAATGGATATGAAAACTTTCAATACATCCAAAAATTAGGTACTTCATTTGGCTTCTTAATCATAACAAACTTCCTACTTTTCAATTTATAAATCATCTTAACATTATCATAAATGCGGAATGCTCTTATTGTCATAAAGCTGATGAATCGACGACTCACAGTTTCCTAACTTGTGAAAATGCTAAAGCATATTGGAATAAACTAGGAATTGGAGGATATGTCAGCACCCTAATCAACTTTGATATGCCTCAGGAATGGCTTACTCCTTTAATAAATTACAAACAGAAAAAATTCCCTCACAACATCAATCCGCATACTTATGTGCCATTAAGCCTTTGGAATATTTGGAACACAGGAATAAAAATATTTACAAGCACCTGCATAAACCCGTTAGCATCAACTTCACTACTTAGCAGGCCACTGAATTTTGCTATCTTACAGCTTCTACTCATAAAATACAACTGTCACACCTCCTTTTTACCACCCGTAAGGGAATATAAGGGAGTTTTTTTCCAATTTAAGTGACAATCAAAACGGGATAATTCATATAAAAATCAGAGCCGCCACTTGGGATAGTTTGTTGGTGTCCCAAGTCACCGGTTTAAAATTCCGAATCGAGGAAGGTTGACTCTGTTTTACAGTCCGCGAAACACAGAAATTCGGGTAAGGAATTTTGTTAACCCGGGAGAAGGTGTTAGGCATTCTTGGGTTCCGTGGTTCTAGCACAATCGCTTAACTATTAATAATTAGTCTAATTATCTGATTTATTACATATTTTAAACCTATTGTGTATTTTTAACCTTATAACCACTTTTATTTATTTAACAACTTTTCGATTTATGGAAATTATTTGAACGAGTCACGATGTCGGCACTCGTTATTTTTGTACATATTGCGAATCACGTCACATGAAATGCACCCGCGATTTACAACATGTTTATTATTATCAATATTCAAAGTTATGGCCGGGTCACATGAAATGTATACCCGAATTTGGATTTATGTATCATGACTATGCCACAGGAACCGTACTCATAGTCACAATGATTTATTTAATCGCGCCTAAAGCAAGCTACGAATATTCATAATTATTTTTCTAAAGCTAATTTGAGATTATTGTGGGGCCATGAGTCCATGAAAGTCATTTGTGGATCATGTGATAGAATTGATCAGTGAAATTATTTACATGGTTGATTTTACTACTAGCATGCTTATAACTTACTAACATTTATTAATTTGATTTGGCATGCAAGTAAATACACCAAACTATGGTTGGTTAAGGAAATGGGTTCGAAATTTTTTTGTCCCATATACTTTCAAAACCAAGCAAATAACCTTAAGGTAAAATCTGGTTTTAGTCTTCTGCCCGGTAACCCAAATGACCCAACTTCAAATTAAACCATCGATGCACTTCCATTTTACTAGACTATACGTTGACCCACCCATTGAACATCGAACCAACCTTCCTGAATTCTAAACCACATTCAATTACAATAAAACCTTGTCCAACTAATCTAACTAAGAGATAATTGAAACACACACATAGAATCTAAAGCCATAATGTAACAAGCAAAATTTATTGATGATAAACTGATCTCCAGACCACAAAGCGGGCCGGGATGACAATTTGGGTTGGGCCAAGTGTTTCTCTTCTTGCAAAAATGCCAGCCCAATGGCCTCGTTAAGATCCACCGGTCTAAACGACAACACATCTGCTTTAATATCTGGGTGAAGCCCAGATGTAAAACAATGTTTGAGCATCGGTGGCGACATCTCCATTGTTCGATTTGCAAGTTTTTCAAACTAAGAAAGATACTCACGGACAAAGGAAGTCATCTGTAATTTAGCCAACAAGCTCTCTGGAGATTCTAGTGACTTGGTCCCAAAGTGATACACAACAGCTTTGAGAAAGTGAGCCAATCCGCACAACTGACGATTGTGATACATCCACTGCTACCACTCCCTTGCTTCGCCTTCAAGAAAAAAGGAACAAGGTTTCAAGCGGTCCTCATCGGCAACATGATACCTGTCAAAATATTGAGTAGCTTGCAAAGTCCAACTCTCAGCGTTGAGACCATCGAACTTGGGCAAATCAATTGGTGCTGGTTTATCACGCCGAAAGGGCATAAATGGTTGTTAGGCTAAAGTAGGAGTAGAATTTGGTAGTTGGGTAAAAGTATGTGGTGAAGGTGTAGAAGAAAGACCTGGGGTAGAAGAAAGAGGGCTGGTGGTGGGCGGCAGCGGTGCCGACGACGATGGACGCATAGATGCCAACTGAGAAACAATGTCCTGAAGAACAGTGTTAATGGACTCCAGAGCATTGGTATGTGAAACAGAGTCAGCCTGCAGTTTCTTAACAGCTTCATCTAGTGATTTCAAACGGGTATTGTGAGCTCCATCACCCATTTGTAGAGGGAGGGTCAATGAAAGCACCAAATGTACAAGCAAAATTATATTGATGATAAATTGATCTCCAGACCACAAAGAGGGTCTGTTCCTCAACTTCTGGGAGTAACTAGAGCAAAAAAGAAAGGAAAAACCGAGAAAAGGGAGGTTCCGGATCTAATTTCTAAGCTAAAGAATTATAAGCAAGTTTATCCCTAGCATTTCTGGTTGATTCTTCTCCTATTTATGCAACTCGGTGCAAGACTGTCATTTGTCCTCTTCTATAATGGCTTGGCAGAGGTTTATTCTCTTGGGATCTGGGACCACATAATGGTCCATATATTTGGGTGGATGTTTCTCTCTGGTGCTTGGTGTTGCGCCTAGGGCCATGTGACGTGTTATGCTGATTTGTTACAATGCCGCTCCCGTGGAGACGAACCTTACCCTCAAGGTTCTGATCAGGAAACTTACGAAGGAGAGTTTGAGAATCTTCCCAGGTGGCATATGAAACTGGGAGGCCTAACCATTTGGTAAGACATTGGTGGATCTGTTGTCCCCCTCTAGAAATGGTTCTACATTGCAACACATCTTCTGGGAGGAGAACCAAGGAAGAAGATTGATCCAAAAGGTCTATTGGGGTGATCTGGTAAGATGGATTGCCTAAACATTTTCGCAAGACTGAAACGTGGAATACAGGGTGAATTTTGGATGAAGGAGGAAGTGCCAGTTTATAAGCAACTGCACCCACTCGCCGAACAATCTGGAAGGGACCAAAGAAGCATCTACTCAATTTGGTGTGGTGTTGTAGGCATATTGAGAGCTGACGATAGGGACGAAGGTGGACATACACCCAATCTCCCACATTAAATTGCACTTTTCTGCGACCTTTGTTAGCATTGGATTTCATACGATCCTGGGCATGGAGTAAATTGGCTTTTAAAATAGCCAATACTTCATCCCATTATCGAAGGGAAGCAGCTACAACAGGGTTTGTAGAACTGTCCCGGATATACCGGGAAACGATTGGCGGAGGACGACCATACACCACCTCAAATGGAGTAAGTTTAGAACTGTGGTGGTATGAAGTATTATACCAAAATTCTGCCCACGGCAACAGAGAAAGCCGAGTAGAAGGAGTGTCGGATGCAAAGCAGTGGAGATACATTTCCAAACACTTATTAAGTGCCTTTGTTTGACCATCCGACTAAGGATGGTATGCGGAACTCATGGCCAATTGAGTCCCTTGCAGCTGATGAAGTTCATTCCAAAATTTAGATAGGAAGAGAGGATCTCTGTCTGAAACAATTGTTGTCGGAAAGCCATGTAGATAGATGAACTCATGAACAAATACTTCAGCAACTTTTTGACTGGTGAAATTAGTTGGTAATGCAATAAAGTGGCCATATTTGGATAGACGATCCACAATCACCAATATAACAGTGCGACTTTGAGACGATGGAAGGCCAGTGATGAAATCCATCGAAATGTCATCAAAGATCACATCTGGAATTGGCAAAGGAGACAATAAACCATCCGGTTTTAAAGTAGAATCCTTCATTTGTTGACTAACCTGGCATTCCATGACAAACTTTTGAACATCAGCTATCATACTATCTCAGAAAAAATTGGAGGAAAGGCGATGAAATGTGCGCGAAACTCCAGCATGACCCCAATCTTAGATGGAATTCAGTGAGCAATAAAGAGCGAAGTTTTTCATCCTTAGGTACCACCAAGCGGTTGCGAAACAAAAGCAGACCCTCATGAAATGAAAAGTGAGGTAAGGAGGTTGGATCCTTTACCAACTGTTATTGTAAAGACCTCAAATCCTTATCTGTTTTGTTTAAAGCTCGTAATTGGTCTACCAAAGCCATTTTAGTGACCGCTAATGATAGATCATGAAGAGCAAGAACGCGAGATAAAGCATCAACTGCCAAATTTAATCTCCCTGGGCGATAGTGGGCCTCAAAGTCATACCCAATAACCTTACTGAGCCAGCGTTGTTGTTCTGGAGTTTGAATTACTTGACTGGTAAGTGATCAAAGGTTGCTGATTAGTGATGATAATGAATCGACGGCCCAATAAATATTATCGCCATTTATGCACCACTTGGGTGATGGCGAACATTTCTCTATTGTAAGTGGAAGCAACTTGCATCCTAGAAGACAACTTTTGACTGAAGAAGGCAATCGGATGACCCTCCTGGGAAAGCACTGCACCAATACCTGATCCAGAAGCATCTGTTTCCACGGTGAAGACCTTAGAAAAATTAGGCAAGGAGAGGACTGTAATTGAACTCAAAGCTTGTTTTAGTTTGGTGAAAGCAAGCAATGCCTCATCTGACCATATAAATGAATCTTTCTTTAGAAGATATATAAGAGGAGAGGCTAATTGTGCATAACTTTTGACGAATCGGCGGTAGTATCCAGTTAAACCCAAAAAGCCTCTCACATCCTTAACTGATGAAGGTATAGGCTATGAGAGTATTGCAACTATTTTTTCTGGATCAACCTGAAGACCCTCAACAGAAAGAATATGTCCCAAGTAAGCAATGGAAGTTTGGCCAAAGTGACACTTCGAACGCTTGACAACCAATGAATTTTGGCGCAAAATATCAAACACAGAACCAAGATGTGCCAAGTGAGCATCCCATGACTGACTATAAACAAGTATATCATCGAAAAAAACTAAAACAAACTGCCAAAAGAATAGTTTAAAAATAGAGTTCATGGTTTCTTGGAAGGTAGAAGGTGTATTTAAGAGCCCAAATGGCATGACGGAAAAACTCATAGTGCCCGTCATGAGTGCAGAATGTCGTCTTTTCAATATCTGGTGGGTGAAGTCGGATTTGATGATAATCGGCCAATAAATCCAATTTGGAGAAGAATCGAGCGTTATGCAACTCATCAAACAATTCATCCATAGTTGGGATGGGGAATCTATCCTTCACAATGATAGAATTTAAAGCCCGATAATCTACACAAAATCACCATGTGCCATATTTCTTTCGAACCAGTAGAACATGGGATGAATAAGGACTAGAGCTGGGGCGAATGACACCCGTTCTGAGCATTTTGGATACCTGGCGCTCAATTTCTGCCTTCTGAAAATGGGGGTAGCGATATGTGCGTACATTAATTGCGCTAGCTCCTGGTAAAAGTGGTATATGATGGTCTTGGGATCTGGATGGAGGAAGTGATGTAGGTGGCTGAAAAACATTAAGGTAAGACTCAAGGAGTGAAGACAAGTCAGGGGATACTCTGATAGATAGGTGGTATTGGTGGAGTGAAGGTCCAAACGCAAAACATAAGAAATGGAATTAGTCTGGGAAAAACGACGAAGGATGGAAACATTTATCTGAGCTAGGGAAGAAATAGGGTCACCCACCCAACGAATGTGCTGGCCAGAAATGGTAAATTCAAAAGTACATTTGATATAATCAGAGAGGCTTGGCCACAAAGTGGCCAACCAATACACCCCCAGGACCAAATCTAAATTGTGTAAATCAATAACAAAGAAAGTGGTGGAAAAAGAGTATCCTTGAATGGTGATACAAACCACATGGATCACTCCCAAACAACGTAATGTTTGGACATTTCCCACCATCACTGAAAACTCCGAAGCAGGTTCAATGGGTAGTTTGAGTTTTCTGGCTACCCTGGGATGGATGAAATTGTGGGTGCTCCCCCCCATCAATGAGAACCTGAACTGGATTTCCTTTGACAGTACCTGTAAATCGAAGGGTAGTCGGATGTAGACCTCCGGCAAGAGCGTGAAGACTAATGGTAAGGAGGGAAGGATTGTCTCAGAGATTATCTGGTGGAGATGCATCAGAAAGTGGGGGTGAGGTGTCTAAAGGAGTCTCATCGGTGGTATCTTCTTCTAGTAGGAGAAGAAAGAGTTAGGTTGAGATGAACAACGATGACCCTTCTGCCATTTTTCATCATAGTTAAAACAAAGATTGATGTCACATTTGCGTTGTAGTTTCGCTTGTGTAAGTTTCTTGAAAGGTACGCGACCAACACTGGGCAAAGAAGCAGCTGGAGAAGGTGATGACTGGGAAATGGGCTGGTTTGGTTTAGGGTGAGCTGCAGTGTGATGGGCGAAAGGGAGGGGAGTGGGTCTATGAAACGGAGTGGGCCGGGGTGACAATTTGGGTTGGGCCAAATGTTTCTCTTCTTGCAAAAATGACAGCCCAATGGCCTCGTTAAGATCCATCGGTCTAAAAGACAACACATCTGCTTTAATATCTGGGTGAAGCCCAGATGTAAAACAATGTTTGAGCATCGGTGGCGACATCTCCATTGTTCGATTTGCAAGTTTTTCAAACTAAGAAAGATACTCACGGACATAGGAAGTCATCTGTAATTTAGCCAACAAGCTATCTGGAGATTCCAGTGACTTGGTCCCAAAGCGATACACAACAGCTTTGAGAAAGTGAGCCAATCCGCACAACTGACGATTTCGATACATCCACTGCTACCACTCCCTTGCTTCGCCTTCAAGAAAGAAGGAACAGAGGTCCAAGCGGTCCTCATTGGCAACATGATACCTGTCAAAATATTGAGTAGCTTGCAAAGTCCAACTCTCAGCGTTGAGACCGTCGAACTTGGGCAAATCAATTGGTGCTGGTTTATCACGCCGAAAGGGCATAAATGGTTGTTGGGTCATTGGATAAATCTATTGTTGTGGTTGTTGGGCTAAAGTAGGAGCAGAATTTGGTAGTTGGGTAAAAATATGTGGTGAAGGTGTAGAAGAAGGACCTGGGGTAGAAGAAAGAGGGCTGGTAGTGAGCGGCGGCGGTGCTGACGACGATGGACGCCTAGATGCCAACTGAGAAACAATGTCCTGAAGAACAGTGTTAATGGACTCCAAAGCATTGGTATGTGAAGCAGAGTCAGCCTACAGTTTCTTAACAGCTTCATCTAGTGATTTCAAACGGGTATTGTGAGCTCCATCACCCATTTGTAGAGGGAGGGTCAATGGAAGCACCAAATGTACAAGCAAAATTATATTGATGATAAATTGATCTCCAGACAACAAAGAGGGTTTGTTCCTCAACTTTTGGGAGTAACTAGAGCAAAAAAGAAAGGAAAAACCGAGAAAAGGGAGGTTCCAGATCTAATTTCTAAGCTAAAGAATTATAAGCAAGTTCATCCCTAGCATTTCTGGTTGATTCTTCTCCTATTTATGCTACTCGGTGCAAGACTGTCATTTGTCCTCTTCTATAACGGCTTGGCAGAGGTTTATTCTCTTGGGATCTGGGACCACATAATGGTCCATATATTTGGGTAGATGTTTCTCTCTGGTGCTTGGTGCTGCGCCTAGGGCCCTGTGACGTATCATGCTGATTTGTTACACATAACTATTACTATTAAATTGCAGTTGTAAGCTAGTAAAGGGAAACTGAAAATCAGTAAGTAAAACCAAAGAAAACAGAGCAAACCAAACAAATCTGCAAAATTATCGAAGAGCACAATATTAACTACTCATGAGCAAGAATGAACTAATAGAAGAAAAGGGAGCTTTATTGATAAATTCTAACCTTTTGCTACGTGCGGAAAAGCCAACAATTTCAATTTTGGAAATGAAAAGCAATGACGACCGGAGCATCGAGAACTCAACCAAACCTCCAACTTCGACCTCTTCTAACTCGACCAAAATTGAGGTGACAGAGTCGGACCTTGCTGGATTTATAGATGAAAACAATTGGTTTTGAGCTATTTCGGGGCTGATTTTTGGAGCATTTCAATAGCAGATTTCAGCTGAGTTCCCAGCTGATTTTCAGCCGCGTTTTGGCCGATTTCCATGTTGGTTTCAAGTGGAATTTTGAGGAGTTTCTTGGCAGTGTTTTGAGTCATTTTTGCAGCTGTTTTGCTATTGTTGTTTTTTTTGGCTATTTATGAAGGAAGAATTGGGTGTTTTTGAGGTGAGATTTTGGACTGATTTTCAGCTGGGTTTGCGGCTGGATTTTGTCGTATATTTTAGGCGGTTTTGACGTGTTTTGAGGAGCTGATTCGAGGGAAGAAAGTTGCTGTATTTTTTGGGTGGAGATAGAAGAGAAGAAGATGAGTTTTATGTCCTTTTTTGGTGAAGTTATGAAGGAAGAATTTAAATGAAAGACCAAAAAAAAGTTCAAAAAAGAAAATTAACTTGGCAGATCTATTTCCTCCCCTCCTTTCTCTGCTTTTTCATTTTTTCTTTCTTGTCTGTCTCTTCTCTGGGGTCCTCTTGAGTGCTTTTGTGTGTGTACTTTACTTGTGAGAACGTATAGATGAGTGAGTATGGTGGGGAATTTTGACGGATAAGAATGGAGTGGGTTTGTATTTTGTCTTCTAGTGGTGAGTGGATTTCATCCAATAAAATGAGTACAAGTGTATTTTTGAACCTTGGAGAATAAGAACAAAATTGAATTTGATTTTTAGAAAAAGAAAAAGAAAAACTAAAACTGTTATGAATAGAATTCTATTTAGAGTGAATGTCTATTTTGTAGAGAGTTTTACTTTGTGGCTAAGTCATTTTTCCCCTATAAATAGAGGGGTCTTACCCCATCGTAAATCATCCCAAAATTCAATAAGAATCCTCTCTCTCTTTCTCTGCAATATTGTTCTTCTACTTTTATTGTTTTATAACACGTTATCAGCACGAGACTCTACCGTCTCAAGAAGATTAAGGTACAACTTTTCTCCTCTTTTAATTATGACTGATATTATGAAAAGAAAGTTCGTTGCCCTTGAAATTTCGGGCAAGAACTATATGACATGGATGTTAGATGCTGAATCCGTTTAGATGCAATGGGTCTTGGAGACGTCATTAAAGACAAAACTAAATCATCCACCCAAGACTGTGCTAAGACCTTGATTTTCTTGCGTCATCACCTTGATGAAGGGTTGAANTCTCCAATATGGTCTTGCAACAACAATACAGAGAGAAAGGTTTCAAGAAGTACTCTGAGTTGATTTCTCTTCTCCTTGTGGCTGAGCGAAACAATGAATTGCTCATGAGAAATCACGAAAATCGACCCACTAGGTCTACATCATTGCCTGAGGTGTATTCTCATTATGCTAAGCGTGGAAAAGGCCGTGGCCCTATTCGTGGTCGTGGACAAGGAAGAAATTTTTCTAGTGTAAATCACCCCCCAAAGAAAAATAACCACCAAAAGTGGAAAGGGAAAGATGAGAAGCCAAAGGCAATTGTTCAGAAACCGAATGTTATCGTTGCGGTGGAAAAGGGCATTGGACAAATATTTTGTCGTGTACCAAGACATTTAGTTGAGCTTTATCAAGCATCTCTAAAGAATAAAGGCCTGAAGCCAATTTTGTCTCTGACAATGATTTTAACATCACCCACTTAGATGTGACAGACTTCTTTGAGCGCCCTGATGGAAAAATAGACCACTTGATTGGTGATGGATCCGTGGTTAAAGATGATTGAGTAGTTTAATTTTTATTTTTCAATTATTCTTAGCAACTAGTGAATAAACAGCATGTAACCATAGTTCTTTACATGAATAATAGTCATTAGTATTATTTATTTTATAAAATAGTATTAGTTTTTCTCGCATGTTTCTACTTATATTAAGAAGACCAAAATCCCTTATCATGTGCTCAATAATATACTCCGGTACATTTATGTAATGTTATAATTAACGTATCAATGTCGCATTGGATATTACTATATAAGTATTGCGTGAATACATATAATGTTACTGTTATTGTACGTATGTCGTAGTGTGTGCAAAGCAAAAATCATTGTAATATGATGCAATTGATCAATATATTTTATGTTTTCATACACAGTTGCACATTTCATATGTGTCTCATCATTATATATCACATTATAAATTATTTATTTACTTACAATTATGCACTTCACTGTTCTCAAGTATTTACAAGTAGTTTATTTTGATTGAGCACCAAATTAAATATGACACAATGTACATTTTACGTGACATGTCACATTGCAGTATATATCTTTAACTATATGATCACTATGCATAATTACTATTCATATATTGAATCATAGATTTATCTTTATTTCTTTTCTTTTTCTCTGAAAATACTAATATTTATTCATATATTTCTTTTGTATGTCAAACAATGGGAAGCAAATATGGATATCTCACAAAACAAACTTGGATTAAAGTTCAATTGTAAAAATATTTGTTTAGTTGATTCATGTACGACACATATAATATTCAAAGAGAAGAAATATTTCTCTCATTTAAGTATGTGTAAGGCAGATGTTACTACAATTTCTGGTAGTAGTAAATTAATTGAAGACTCTGGAAGAGCTAGTATAACTCTACCTAAAGGAAAAATACTTATCATAGAGAATGCAATGTTCTCCTCCAAGTCCAAGAGGAACTTGTTGAGTTTTAAAGATATCTGGCGAAATGGATATCATATTGAGACAATAGATGAGAATAATCTTGAATATCTCATCATTACCAAGAATGTCACTGGCCAAAAGAGGGTTATTGAGAAGTTCCCATCTTTATCTTGTGGCCTGTATTGGATAAGAATTAGTGCAGTTGAGGCACATTCTACCGTAAACCAAAAGGTTACTGATTTCAATATTTTTGTACTTTGGCATGATCGATTGGGATACCCTAGATCAATTATGATGAGATGAATTATAGAAAACTCAAATGGGCATTCATTAAAGAATTTAAAGATTCTTTTAAATAATGAATTTTCTTGCACTTATTGTTATCAAGGCAAGTTATTTATTAGACTATCACTAACAAAGGTTGGAATTGAGTCCCCTGCATTTTTGGAACGTATACAAGGGGACATTTGTGGACATATTCACCCACCTAGTGGGTCGTTTAGATATTTTATGGTCTTAATAGACGCATTTTCTAGATGGTCCCATATGTGCCTATTGTCATCTCGCAACCTCGGGTTTGCAAAATTAATGGCACAAATAATTCAATTACGGGAACAATTTTCCGATAATCCAATTAAGTCTATTAGACTTGATAATGCTGCTGAGTTTTCAACTCAAGCATTTAATGATTATTGTTTATCAATTGGGATAAAAGTGGAACATCATGTAGCTCATGTTCACACTCAAAATGGTCTTGCAGAGTCTTTAATTAAACGTCTGCAATTGATAGCAAGACCGTTACTCATGAAAACGAGGCTGCCCACTTCTGTTTGGGGTCACGCCATTTTGCATGCAGCAATGCTAGTTCATCTCAGACCGACAAATTATCATAAATATTCTCCATTGCAATTAGTTTTGGGTCATGAACCTAATATATCCCATTTAAGAATTTTTGGATGCGCAGTATATGTGCCTGTAGCACCGCCATATCGCACCAAAATGGGTCCGCAAAGAAGGTTAGGAATATATGTTGTGTTTGAATCGCCCTCCATCATTCGCTACCTCGAAACATTGACGGGAGATTTGTTTACTGCACGATTTGCAGACTGTCGATTCGATGAGACACTTTTCCCAAAATTAGGGAGAGAAGTTGGTGAAACCAAACAGGAAATTTTGTGAAAAAATCCATCATTATCTTATCTTGATCCACGTCCCTCTATTTGTAAAAAGGAGGTGCAAAAGATTCTTCATTTGCAAAGTATAGCAAATCAAATGCCTGACGCATTTACGGATCTGAAAAAAAAATAACAAAATCACATATCCCTGTAGAGAATGTTCCAAACCGTATTGATGTTCCTGTTGGACAATCTTCTAGTGTCATAGCTAATGAGTCAAAAACACGCCTAAAACGTGGCAGACTATTAGGTTCCAAAGATCGAAATCCAAGAAAAAGGAAAATAAATGATCAAAATGACACTACGAAAGAATCTCATGAAGAAATCCACAATTTAATAAATTCTGAGATTCATGAGGAATCCACTAAGCCCGAGACTCAAGAAAATAAGGAACTATCAATATATCCAATCGATATTGAGACAAATTTGTATCGAGTGGATATAGTGGTGGATTATATCTTTGCATATAATGTTGCATCTAGCATTATACAAGAAAGTGAGGATCTTGAATCCTCAATCTGTTGGAGAATGTCGACAAAGACTTGATTGGCCAAAATGGCAAGAAGCAATCCAATCAGAGTTGAATTCACTTGCAAAACGTGAAGTTTTTGGGCATGTAGTCCAAACACCTAATGGTGTTAAGCCTGTTGGTTATATTGGGTCTTTGTACGCAAGAAAAATGAGAAAACGAGGTACAAAGATATAAGGCATGCCTTGTTGCACAAGGATTTTCACAAAGGCCTGGTGTCGATTATGAAGAGACATATTCACCCGTTATGGATGCTATAACTTTCCGTTATCTCATTAGTTTTGCTTTCCATGAAAAGCTTGACATGCATTTAATGGATGTGGTTACCTCCTACCTTTATGGCTCACTTGATAATGAGATATACATGAAAATTCTCGATGAATTTAAAATGCCAAACGCACATAATTCAAAGTACCGGGAAATATTTTCAATCAAATTGCAAAGATCTTTGTATGGTCTAAAGCAATCAAGACGAATGTGGTATAATCGTCTTAGTGAGTATTTATTAAAGGAAGGCTATATAAATGATGCTATTTGCCCATGTGTTTTTATAAAGAAAACAATATCGAAATTTGTTGTACTTGCCGTATATGTTGATGACATAAACCTTATTGGAACTCCTATAGAACTCCAAAAAGCAATTGATTATTTAAAGAAAGAATTCGAGATGAAAGATCTCGGAAAGACAAAATTATGTCTTGGTTTGCAAATTGAACATTTGGCAAACGGAATTTCTGTTCATCAATCTGCCTACATAGAAAAGGTATTGAAATAGTTTTACATGGATGGAGCACATCCATTAAGTACTCCGATGGTTGTTCGATCACTTGATGTGAATAAGGATCCATTCCGACCTCAAGAAGAGAATGAAGAGCTACTTGGTCCTGAAGTACGATATCTTAGTGCAATTGGTGCATTAATGTATCTTGCTAATACTACAAGGCCTGACATAACTTTTTCAGTTAATGTCTTAGCAAGATATAGCTCTACTCCTACAAGGAGACATTGGAATGGAATCAAACACATATTGCGGTATCTAAAAGGGACTACCTATATGAGCTTATTTTATGGCAATAATTGCAATTCCGATCTTGTTGGTTATGCTGATGCTAGGTATTTATCTGACCCACACAAGGCTCGATCTCAAACAGGTTATGTATTTACCTATAGAGGCACTGTCATATCTTGGCGATCGACTAAGCAATCAATTGTGGCTACTTCATCTAATCATGCTGAGATAATTGCTATTCATGAAGCAAGTCGAGAGTGTGTGTGGTTGAGGTCTATAATACATCTTATTCGAGACAAATGTGGTTTGAAATGTGACAAGTTACCCACAATTTTGTATGAAGATAATGCAGCATGCATAGCTCAATTGAAGGGAGGATTCATAAAAGGAGATAGGACAAAGCACATTTCACCAAAGTTATTTTTCA